GAAAACATGCATTTGTTCAACAGCATCTGCTCGGTTCTCTATTTTCAGCGTTGATGGAAATGCCTTTTGATAAGCTCGAACAATTAATGATTTCAGTTTCACTAGTTCTTCGTAATCTTCATCTTCTCTAAAATATTTCCACATTCACTTTTCACCTCAGCTAAATAAAATTGTCACACAGTTTAGAAACTTCAGATTACAATGTTCCTGTTATTTTTTTCTTACCGAAATAACGTTAATTTTTGTTAGAAGTGAACAAATTAATTTTATTACTTATTGTCGTTTATTTTTTTGCGCCGGATGCGTTCCAGACGTACCAGTTCCTGTCTCATACCAACTCCAACGCATTTAGTGAAACGACAAAGCTGACATCTGTTCCGGGTTTTTAAACTAATGTTGCAATCTCCTTGCTTATAGCAAGTATAGCTGAATTTCCTCTGAACTGTCCTTCGGAAGAAACCCTGCAAATACATTGTCATACGTGAAAAATTATTCAGTTGACTCTCAATTACAAAAGATGCAATTTCTTTCAGAATTCTGTGTTTGCATTCTATCATTAAATTTAGTATTCTGATTTTTCCAGAAAAAAGTCAAAAAAGCTAAGTATGTTTTATTACTTACATATACTTTAAACTTGGTTTGAAAAAATGACTAAATTATATAATTATTTAGTTGTGCTAAAAAAGTTTGAATTTGTTGTTTTTTTGGAAATTATTTTCCTTCTCTCTCAAAGCAGGTTACAAGTCTAACTCGTTTCATGCTAATATTTTTAAACTTATTTGCTTTTCAAGCTTCTTCCAATGAGATTGATTGTCTTAGTTATAGGTATGTAAATTTACCTTACACCCTTCACAACTTCGTACTCCATAATGATTTCCTGTTGATCTGTCTCCACAAACATTGCATAATTCATCTGCATTTACGTTTGAATTTCCAGTGCGTTGTTGTGCCGTAGATAAATAATTATAAACTGAAGGCGGCATTGGTCTTCCGTCTGGTCCTATTATTATTCCATCAGCTGTTAAACTGTATCCTGAGTAGCTCTCAGGACATAATTTAACAGCTGATGGAATGACTGTAGGTGTGGAAGCTTGTACTAGTTGGTAAGGTATGTAATGCTGTGGGCCTAAAATATTATCTGCATGTTTACTATTATTTTGTTCTGTAGAAATGTAAGCATTAGCTAAATCTCTAGTAGATAAAGTAGTATCGCTTGTACTATCGAATTATTAACAAAAAGCTTAATTTCTGATTTTTATTGTTTTTTATAATCATATTACTCCTCATAATAATTTTTATTATTGGACGAAGCAGAAGAGAGCCTACCTTGAGATGATACCTGAGGTACAGGATGATGCTGTAAACTACTAGGAGTTATAAATGGCATAGTCAGTAGTTGCGGTGCTAAATGGGGACTGGCTCCAAACTGTTGGGTGAGTGGTATTATTGATAATTGCTGTGCGTAGGATGGGTTGCTATTACAAGCAGTCGCAACGTTTGGCACTACCTCAAGATTTTCTATGGTGCCAGCCATTACCGTCGATCGTTGCGATTGTGGCGCTGTTGTCAACGGGTTACAAGCTGTATTCTCTATTGAGCTTGATGATGCTTTCGGTTCTTCATCAAGGTGATTGTCTATATTGTCTAGCACTTTGAGACTTGACAGCATCAGATTTGTAGTTGCTGTTGCAGTCGTTGATGGCATTGTGATTATTTCTGAATTTACTGTTTGATCAGTAGTTGCAGTCTCTTCACCCTTGTCACTTGATGAAATGATTTCAATCGATGATATTCCAGAATCCAAATTATGCTTTTCAGCAGCAGGCTGTTGCTGCTGAACACTGCAGAGTGTTGATGTCGTAGGTAATATTTTCATATTATCTGCAATTCTTTCTGGAATTCCTGGAGCATGAGGGAAATCTGGAATAGAAATGTACTTCGTACAAGTTGTTGTTGACACAGTGGGAGCACTTTCGCCGCATATCAAGAGGGCTGTTTCACTTGAGCAGTCTTGAATTGTTCGTAGTGGAGTACCAGTTGTCCGCTGGTTTATCTGAAACTTAAGAACATAGTTTGAAGAGAATAGCAGGGAATAACATGAAAATAATATTGTTGTATCTGATTCAAGAAAAAAAACAATCCTGTACTGTCAGATACTACTCATGATTTAATTCGGAATAACTCTTGATTTCAAAAAAGCTAATACATTTATTTTTCTTTCCTGATAAATATACATAATTGATAATATAAAATTAATCTAATCACCATGTCAGCAACATTACTCCTTCTCACATGCTGTAGATCATTGCAGTCTCCGGTTTCTTCAATTCCTGATTCATTTAACTCTCTTGATTCACAACTATTTTCGGTGCCATAATGTGGAGATAGAGTAAGTAAATGCTGGACTGCAGTTTTACTTGGTAATTCATTACCTGTGGATGGATACTGATCAATCACCAAATGTGTTGATGATGGAACGATAATTTTTAACTGATCGTTCTTGAATTGACTATTAATTGCTGGTGATTTAGATGGTGGAGAATCAAACGAGAAGCCGGATGAAGTTCTTTTTAGGGCACGTTTTGGTGTTGCTTCCTTATTCGGAAGTGTAGTGGGATCTGGAACTACATGGTGTTGTGTTGTTGAAAGCAAATTAAATTCTTTTTTCTCATTTATTGAATCTATATCATTCTGCTGTTGGTGTTCTTGTTCATTTTGTTGTTGCTGCCACAGTTCGTGGTGTTGTGGAAGTTCTTGTTGCTTTTCAGGCTCTTGACCTCTTTGCTGTTGCTGAAGTTCTTGATGTAGCTGCAGCTCTTCCTTTTTTTGTTGTTGATCTAGTTCTGATTTCTCGTCCTGTTGTCTTTGTTGTTGCTCAAGTTGAAGTTCCGCTGTCTGTTGCTGTTGTTGTTGCTGAAGCTCATGTTTTTCCAGCCTTTGCTGTTCTTGTTGTGTTTCTTCTTCCTGTTGTCGCTTACATTGTTTCTGTTGTTTGGAATCTTTTTGTTGTGGTAACTTGTGTTGTTTTTCCTGTTTCTGTTTTTTTTTCACCTTCGGTTGTTGATCTGCTCGTTTTTTTCGTGGCTGTCTTGGCTGGCATGATGGTGACTCAGCTTGATTCTCTGCTTCTCTTTGAATCATTAAATCTTCCGTTTGAGATTGTGATGAAGACATTAGAGTTATATTAGAACTTATTGTTTTAACATGTTCAAAGTAATGATGTGCCATATCTGCAAAATATGAAGCAGGATCTCTTGCCCATGTAATTTGCTGCTCAATGGACCTTAGAAAATCAGGCGTTTGATTACTTACCAGAGGTGGCAGTATTTGCGCAGCATTGTGATAACCAGTAGTGGGGTTATAAAGATTATGAGGAATAGGAGCAGCTTGTACTTGCCTAAATTCTTGCATGGGTTGACCAATTGCTGGTGTATCAACTATTGGAATAGGGCTTGCTGGATTTGGTACTAGCTGCAATCTTCTCATTATAGGAAATGCTTCGGAAAACGGATTCAGGCATCTTTGTTGGCTAGAATTATTGTTGTTGTCAGCTGAGAAAGTGCTCTGTTGTTGTGGAGAAGGATTGTCAGCAACTGTTGCGAGTCTCAAGTTAAAAACGCCCGGAAAGTATTGCAAAAATGGAGTGAAGTGTTCAGCTGGAACATATGTCTGGTATATGTTGTTGCCATCAACGTTGCTTATATTTGTATTGGTGTTATTATTCATTATACTAGTATTATCATTAGTAGGGGGATGCATGGTACTGTACATGCTTGTAGTAGTAGGTGGAAGAATGGGAGCGGGGATAGTAGGAGGCATAAATCTGCTGCTTGATGGAATACTCCATGGTGCTGGTTGAAAAGCTGAAAATGGATGACAAAACGATGTCGACGGTGGATTTTGACTTCTGACATTGTTTGACGTATCTTCGCTTTCTTGAGACATTTTTTTTCTTTTTTATGATGACAAAATAGACCAAATAGAAATAATAATAGTAACAAGAATAGTTATTAATTTTTGAAGATTACCGGCAAACAGACCTAAAATAATTGACGGAAATGTTAAAAGGTCGTGAACGAAATTTGCAAAAGCAAAGAACAAAGAAAGAATGCAGAGATTTTTCGTACAGTTTCAACTAGACTTCACGTAAGTTTTTAGAAACAAAAATTTAATTTTGAGAAATATTTCACTAAATCGAAATTGACATTGGTATCAAGATGAAAGCAAAGAGGTGAAGCGTAGCAGTGACAAAAGGTTAAGGAACAATCATGTCCTCAATGATTTAAACCACAGAGGGCAGTACTGTTCAAAAGAGGAAAAAATAGGAGACTATATAACAAAATATACAGTGATGTAATGGTTTGCTGCATAGGTTGGAATCGAACTTGACCTGTTGATGAAAAGGAAAAATGAACAGAAAAGGGGAGGGAGTGAGTAAGTGACCTAACCTGAAATGTCAATACAGCATAGGTCTTGAGTAAGGATCGAGATTGGGTGTGTATAGAAGAATGGATATTCCTATTACATAAGAACACTCCCTTCCATGTCAGGTAATGGTATTTGTAAAGGTGGAGAGTGATGGTAGCTGCTGGTGGTTCTGGTAAGGACATACAGGGCAAGAAAAGTGATGCAATGCTCCCAGTCATCTGGTCATTCGGGCAAAATAGCGATTTACATACAAAAATGACCAATATTAGTATTTGGAGAAAAAGGTACTCTCTAGAATCTGAAAGAAAAGGTCATAGTGCAACTTTATTACGGCAAAAGTTCATGATTGAAGTATTATGTAGTATAGACAAATTTGACCGCAATTTGATTTTTGTGAATTTACGAAATTAGTTGAAACGTTGAGATATAAGTGACCAAAACTGATACAGCATTCAACAAAAAATCAAATGATTTAAAGAATCAGAATGCTGAGCACAATAAGCATAATTGGTCATGATCTTTCACTGGTAAAAGTTCACGTATCTGATCTAAAAGATATTTCTAGTTAACGTAGTTACTTCATTTAAGATTTTTGAACGTTTGCATACTACAATATATATAAATGGCAAAAACTGGTAATACGAAATCATTTCAATGATTATTTGAAAAGTAGTAATTAGGAGGGTAGTACTGTACATACTGTCTAATTAATGCCTTTGAAGTGATGATTTATTCACTTTCGATTGCTAGCTAAGTACATCTTGAAAGTAATTTGAAATGATACCTTACGCGCTTGGTTTAATTGTGATTACTTTTATGCTTTAAACTTGGATCACTTTGAGTGTACTCATTTTTATTTTAGTGAAGTCATTAATTTGAAGTCCGGAACTGATGAATGTACTGTGGTTGTAGCTTAAGCAATAACGTACAAATATATTAAGAAACTTATATGTTTGTTTCGTATTAGTTTGTTCTCAACCAATCTTTGCAGTTAAATATTAGCAATAATAAATTTGTCTAGAAAGAAAAGTAAAAGTCTCTCCAAGCATACTTGGAAAACTCCAAGACCAAGCTTCTTTCTTTAATATAAGTCTGATTTTGTGAGAGTAGGAAAAAAACATAATTGCAGATATAACAAATTCATGAGAGTAGTAAGCATTTGCAACTTATTTGATTCTTTGTCTACACATTACTACAGAATTCCATTTCTAATATGGCGAAAAGAAGAAAAGTATGCCATATCAGAAATCGTCCTATAGTTTCCTCACTAAGAGATTGGATCGAAGAATGACCTCAGGATCCTCTGACCTTTATAATTTATCCTACGATTTGTTCTGTATTCAGTTAACTGTTTAATGTATCATCTGTTTATTTCGGTGCTATTGATTTTAGAATTAACCAATTGTTAACAGAATAGACAAAATTTGTAAGCATAGAAAATTCTCATCGAATTATTGCAGTTTCCCTCATGTGGACCAACGTCATATTTTTAAAGATTAATTGCGCAATAAATAATTCAAAGATAAAAACCCAAGAAAAGGGAAAAGAGATCTGCTGGAGAGATGAACTACTAGTGGCGTGACCTCAACCGTTGCTTTTCGCATTGCCATTATATCAACAGTTATAATATTTCATCCCACTATTTGACCGGCAGGTAGGCAGGTAGGTAGATTAGATACATAGATTAGATTGATCTTTACGCTTCCTTCGTCAGAACCAACCAATACCTTACTAATATTCATCAGTTAACTTACTATTCATCACAAAAGGGGTTAACCTTTCCCAGTTGTATAACTGAATACTGTACCTATATGCGTCGTCTACATACTGTTGACCTCTGTTAGCCAGCACATTTCTGACCTCTGCTAGCCAGCATACCACTTGTGCAGGTCAGCAAACACCTCTGACAAAAACGCGCGTATGCACTTCCTACATGTGTATAGACACGCAAATAGACATTAAAAATAAAATTAGTCTCATTTTGTGTGAATTCACCATGAGGTTTTGTATAATGTATGAAGTTAACAACAGAAATATTTGATGTACGCCCATAAAAGCCATTAAATTCTGTGCAAGAATCAATGTTATGGGCAGTATCAAGGTACAAATAAAACGATAAACAAATAGAACAATTTACTTATTCTGTATGTAGTAAACAAAAATAATAAGCTGTAAAAGCTCTCATATGGAGCTTACCAGAACAGAAAAATGATTTGGAAGAAAAGCAAAGCATTAATTTATAATTGTTAAGTAGGCTCTGGGAAAGATGATTCAGCGGAAGTGAGGATGACATCTTCATCTGAACCATCGGAATCGAAATCATTTAAAGGAAGGCGTTCAAAACCATCTTCCCACCGACTACTTCTTGTTCTCTTCAAGAAATTGAATCGGTATAATCCAATCTAAATTAAAATAACATTTAAGAATTTTCAGGCTTTTTACTGCAGCTATTTTTTAACAACTTATCGAGGCTACAAGAATGAGAGATTTTGAAAATACAAAACTTACATGAATAAAGCCCAAAATAAATAATGCAACCAATAAAATAAAAAAATTATTTTTTTTGAAGAGTGAAAGAAGAGTGAAAGAGGGTCTCTTTAGGAAGATATCGTGAACTGTTCGTTTTGACTGAATAATCTGCAATCACCAAAAATTTTTATCAAAAACGGACTTCTCTCAATTGCACATTAAAAATTTCAAAGAACTATTTTCCTTCCAAGCATCCTTTTGCTTAATACTTTAGACAAACTGTCTAAACGTTGACTGAGAAGTGAAATTTTTTAAATAAGTTTGAAATATATCACATACTTTAGTAGAAAAAGTATATGACTGATAATCCTCTTTGAATGCGTGCAAAGTATAAACTCCAGGAGGTAGCCAAACATAATAATAACCATCAACATTTGTATTATATATAAGATTGCCAATTTTTAACTTTACTGGTACTTTAACTGAATCACCATCAACTCCTTTGATAGTACCCGAAATCCCTTGTATCATCTATAATACTTTTTAATATAAGTTTTTCAAAATTCTTCAGAAAAATAAGAACATGATAAACATACGTGACCTGGAATATTTCTGGTAAACTAACCATAGAAAAAGTTGAAACGAGGGGAGCTTTATTATTCTCATAAAGATGTTCCGCTTCATAATTGTAGTCGCAGCAAGCCATTTGCACTAATAAGATATCCATTTTACGCTGCCATTTCTCCAACTGTGATTCATCGTGAAACTCACTTACAGTAGGCAGAGCTGATAAATTATTTCTGAAAGCAAGGAAATAAGTGATGCGAAATATAAAAAGATGGAGTAGAGCTGTAATCAACAAGTTTTTTTAAACCTGGTACGTAAGTACAATTCTTTTCACATACCGCTAGTTCAAAAAAAAGAACCTAATTTACGATGCCTTGATGAATATTGTTTAAAATACTTCGTTAAAAATTCTAGTTTTTGATTTTTCTGATTAAGAAAGAATTTCTTGGATCAAAAAATAGTTTTCAGCTCTACGATAACTTTAAAAATGCATTGAAACCATCATAATAATTACTAATAGAAATTAAGAACCAAAGATAAGATCTAGAAGGGAAACAAGAAGACCATTTTGTCACATAAAACCTCTAAGAAGCAGCCATTTCTTGAAATTAACATCAATAAGATAACGTTATGCAGAATAAGTACTTACCTGTTGCATATATCAATTTTATTTGTTCTCATCAACGGATGCATTGAGAGATAATTTAAGGCTAAAAATTTCGCTTTTCCTAGCTTCGATGCATCCTTGTAACGTATCTTCATGCCACCAGTTCCTAACAAGATCACATTATCGATGACAGGATAGATATCCGAAACTTGTTTAATAAAGGACTCAAATGGCTTAAATGAAGAATAATCATGACAATTTAGCTGTAAAAATGGCATTTCCGTGATCAGAATCAATGTTGACGTGGTCAACACTTCTTGCAGAACCGAATTTTGAGTAGAAAGCAAGCAAAAATCTACTGCTATTTCATAGATAACCGACGCGGCCTTCTGAAAAATTCATTCAAATTTTCATTCTTTGTTTTGCAGGCTCTGAGAAAATAAAGCTTTTATTTCGAAAAATTGATTAAACCTTCATCCAGTTATTTCCGAATGCTTGATATTTTTGAGGTATATCTGAAGGAATCAAATTTTACTAAATTATAAAATTAAACTGAAGTACTTGTTCAATAGCCATCACAAGTATATACGGCATACGACCATCACCAAATACGACAGCCTTCATTAAACCAATATTAACCACCGAAGCACAGCCTTTTTCTTCAATAAACTGTAAGCTAGGATTTCCATCACTTTTATCCTGAGTTGAAGAAAAGTCCCAAGAAACAATAGATGATTTTCCAGCATGAGTAATTCCAAAATGTTTCGTGCTAGCATATGCGTTAATTAAAACCTAAAATTCAGTCAAATTTTCAGGATTTAGACACAAAACTTTTATCTGAATAATATCGATCCATTCACTGAACAAAAGATTTTAAAATCATGCCTGTAATATACCAGAGACTGTAGCAAGAGTTAACTGCGGTGATAATAGATCACAACCAAGTGAGATTCCTATTTGAAATGTTTTCATCATATTCAACATATCAACCATCGAAGACGTCATACGATCTAACATACGATTAGAGCAGTTCATTATTTTGCTATTGTCAAAAGCACTGCAAATTGAGAAACTGATTGACATGACCCTTTCCCATGTAATTTTTACTCCAAATACAAGCTTGTCAACTATCTACAGGCAGTATGAAGTAATTACGTACATCGTGAATAGCTGTCTGTAACCAGTAATTGCGAAAAGAAATCACCAACTTTAACAAACTTTTATCAAAGCTTGTTTGATCAAATCTTGATGGAGTATTCATTCCAGCACTAAAAATAGTTGACTTCGGAGGCCCTTGACCAAATAATAAGACAACATCCATTTCATGATTCTGAAATCGAAATGATAAGCGATAAATGTCAGATAATATAAAATCATAAAAATGATTTTCGAATTTAAAATAACCTTAAAATAAAAAGCATGTTCCAAGGGTGAGAAAGAAGAGAACAGATGTAAAGTGGAATACTGAATAGCCTGATTAAACAAATCATCTGGTAAGCATGTAGCATTAGCTAGCTTCTGCACAATCGATTCTCCGATGGCATCAATACCAAATACCGCAATGCGTACTGTACCTTCACCTCTCACTTGGATACCGTAAAACACTTAAAATGAAAATTATTTTTAATCATCAATTAAACTTTTATATCAAACCACAAGTTTCCACTTCTTTTACAGTATTTGCTATCAAATTTTACAGAACTATTTTTTTTAAATTTCAGCAAAAATATTTTATATTTTGCAAAAGTATTTCTTAACACAACTTGAAAATTACTTCAAATCAATAATTTGGTTTAAGAATAATTTTCTGTACTGAAAAAAGGACTACTAACTGCCTGAAGCACCATTTCCAAGAGTGGCGAATAGAATCATAATAAAGAGCACATGATCATATTAATAACCTTCTTTGCAAAGTTTCGGCTCTAAAGTAATATTGATGTATTTCGCAGCTCCTTCATCAACAGTAATATTGAGAACTTTTGGCAAATATTTACGATGAATCACCGTTATCTTCAAGTACACAACATAAGAATTTGAATTTTATAATTTATCAAAATGAAACAAGAATAATCATTTCCACTGAAATAAAACTTAAAGTCATTCAATTTTTCTGAATTGCAAGCAAAAAATACCGTGTATATACCAGGCAAAAGAATCCTCCAGAATTCACCTTCACTGGTTGTTGTGATACTTTTTCCTTCGTTAACAGTGACCTTAGCATTTTTAACACCGTTTCCTTTTTGATCAAGAACAAATCCTCTTAGTCCTTAAACATCACCAGTTTTAATACATCCCTATAAGTAAGTGACAACTCAATTTCTTAGACAGAATAATTTTTTAACAATTTGTTTTAGAAAATCTTTTCGCACACTACAATGGAGCTTGATTACTTTAAATGTAATTAAGAAAACAAATGAATCCTTTTATTTAAAATTTGTTTGATCAAGTCTTAATGAAAAATTCATTCTAACACTAAACCTAAATGATGAAGGAGCTACATATGTATCAATTAAAATCAATACTGCGTTTATTCCGCTGCGCTGATCTTTGTTGCTTCATCCTCATAGTATCTAAGGCGGTAGTCGAATGAGTTGCTTCCGAGGGCCTTCTTAAACAGTATCGTTCAAATATATGCCTCGACGCAATCAAATATACTGATCTCCTTCGCTAACGTTTATAGAAGTCTGTTACAATCCCATCCCAAGTCATCACATATGGAATTATTCTTGTCCTGCATCTCATCTCTGACTCGAATTTATTAGCGAGCATATCATAATTTCGCTTTTTTTCAGTCTCGACTGCATTCAACCTGTCCTAGCTAGTGATGACAATCTCTATTAGGATTACTTAATGTCATTTTTTTATCGTGGATCATGATATCTAGCCGATCCTTATATAACTGTTCTATCACGCGTATTGTTTGCGATCTTCTGAACCTAACTTCTTGAAGAGTTCCAAATGGATACGCTGCAGCGCTTATTATGGCTTTAGTATAATCATGACGTAATATTTTCTCACAGTGCGTTGCCAGATGGTTCACCGTCCTGCTTAGATATGAGCGCGGTTTATACAGATACATTATGGAACTGCAACAGCATAAACTCAATCCTCTGTTCAAGCCGAAAACCCACATCCTAGCTCGTTACTTAATCCCCTTCGACTTTGTCCGCTTTATCTCTGGGCCTCTTGCATCACTATAATTCTGCTTTACAATTAGATAAACCTTAGACTCATGTAGCGTATTTTCCTGGAAACAGTTATTTTAAAAGCTTCGCTGTCTGCTCAAGAACTGCAAGAGCATTCGCTTGTTTCTTTAGTTCTTAAAGGCTAATCGCACACACGAACTTCTCACAATACAGAGAACGAGGCCACATCCCTCACGGCATCCTCCCAAAACAGTCAAGAACCGCCTTCAACACTTGCCCTGACTAGCTGCTCTGCGGAACCGCGATTCCTCGAACGATTACTTTGAGCTTAATTATCCTGCTGGTTCATAGTTCCGGTACATTGACAGATTGCTTTCTCACATCTTTTACTGAGCTTTTCATAACTTCATCTATTTTCCTATTATTTTATATTATGATTCCAGATGTGGTTTTTCTCCATTTATCCTTTACTTTTTTATGAGACACATATCTGTACTGCAAATCAACACAGCATTCTTCTTTGAGGTTTTAACTCTTTTAGCAATAATTCTTTCTTCCTCTTCGTTCAACTCTTACGTATTTCTCTACTTTAATTTTTTCCCTTGCTTTGTTTTCGTTTCTTCAAAAAGACTACAATAGAGAATTGCATGAACATTATCGTTACGGTCCATTATTTCGATTCACTTCTTGAAAAAATTAAAGTCGCCTGTGAAGTAGGAAGTTCTTCAAAAACGCGTTCCCAGTTATCAAATAGATAATTAATCCGACTGAACGTTGGAATTTTCTGTCGTATTATTGCCATTTCCATCCTTCTAGCGTTTGCGGTGTTGATACTATTGCATTTGTTGTTGTAACTGATCGTACTGGCCCTGTTGCTGTTTATTTCCATAATAGCGACAAAATAATAATGTCTCTATGGTGTATAAAAGTAGGACAAAAATGCAAGCAGAAGCCAGATATAGCAAAGAAATAATGTGTTACTTTTAAGATCAGGCAAAGTCTATCATTCAACTTCCCTCCAACTTTATAAATATATAATGTAATAAAGAGAAACATACCTCGATGTGCATACTCCATGAATGCAAGAAGTGAATATTTATGTTCATTCCAGAATAATGGTAACATTTGTGGTGGAGGAAATTTATAACAACCCATTTCAATGGTGATTTCCATACAGTTGGTATGCAAATATTGCCAATCTTGCATTCCTCCTGCCAGGTGATACCACTTTGCGCCATTTGTTATACCATTCAAAAAAACATCGCCATTGATATTTAATCCACATCTAAGCAGAAATTTTCATTGTTAGCAAATCGAGGAAAAAAAGTATTGCGAAAAAAAATCAATGATGACTGTAAAATATATAAAAATTTATCCTTATGTCTAAAGTTGCGCAGAAACTCTATAAATACGAATGAAAAACTGTGAAACTTTAGAGACGTTAACAAAATAATGATTAAACAACCTTCGTCCAGTTTTCCACATTTTGGGGTGTGCGCGAGCATAAGTGAATGCTAAAGCAACAAAAAGGCGATCATCTGGCGTTGGTGAGTAAACATTATCTTGTCCTGTCTCAGAATCATCATATGGATAGTTAGCAACTAGCGAACCTAAAAATTTGCACATGAATTTTACCTAATATGTATATCTCAGAACCGTAAAGTATATTTTACCATTAAAATTGACGTAAGAATGCAATATTTGAAGTTTGATAGCGAAAGCAAAATAATGACATTGAATATAATGATGATATATCATAATTATTCAAAAATTGACCCCCGTGAAAGTTAGCAGACAATACAAACGGATATTCTTGGAACCATTTCATTACCGCCAAAGTTTCTTTCTCGGGATATACACCACCTGATTTTTCCCGATGAAAAGAAAAACGTGCTGGGAAATTCCGATTAAGATCGATTTCATGAGCATTTGAGCGTCCCTACAAATATGTTAATTTAAAATTAAAAATTTCGGAAGAACTTCAAAATGGCAGACTTCACTGAGAACATGACATGATGATGCTTATTTATGATGCCTGAATCAATCTGGTTAATGTATATTTTAAAATAAAAGAAATTTTAGTTTTAACAAAAAATTACCATTTGTAATACGTTTTCATAAACAGATGTTTTTTTGTCTTAATGTTATAAAAGAAATAATAAGCTTTAAAGCTAATACTGAATTGATTATCATTAACTCCTGCATCAGCTAAAAGTAACAAAAAGATCCTCACATTATATCCAGAACTATCACCTTCATTTCCCATTTCATAACCATCAGGATTCATCGAAGGCATGATATGAATTCGCGTAGAATTCACTAATTTTGTCAAATATTTATTCTTTCCATAATTTTCACATAAAAGCGCTATGAGATAAAGCATCGCTTCACGTCCTACAACCTTAAATATTATGTGCAAACTGTCTACCATACTTTTTTAATGCCACACTATGTTGTATAAAGACTAAAAAAACTGATAAAATAAATCAGGCAATGAATATCAAACATAAACTATAACGATCAGCATCCTAAAAATGAAGAACACTTAAGACATTAACATCACTAAAAGTAACATTTACTTAAAAACAAAAAAATGTGATAACTGATATACTCATACACTCTACAATTGTCTTTATCGTACATTAATCAGTGCATTATTTACAGGATGGTAAGATTCAACTTTTTAAGCGACACTAGAATTAGACTATTACAATACTGAAAATCTTCTAGATTTTTTAATGCGAAAGTTTTATCCCTTAACTATCGCCTAATATTTTCTTAAAATGTTACCGACCATTCAACACCTAATATTTTTAAATTGCTTAACTTAATGCCTCTTTTTACTAGAAATTACTAATAACTGACATTAACGATCACATGAAATCAGTAAAAGGAAAATACTGATGCAACAGAAAATTACCTCATTCCCATGCATATTAGCGACATATTTGATTTCCGGAATACCAAGAACATGTATGCGTGGATTCTTCGAAATTACTAGCACCCATAATGTTCTATTCTGAACACTTTCTCCAATTGAATATAACCATGTTATGTTTGGATATTTATTTGCGTATTCTTTCAACCAAGCTGTCAATGACAGATAATTATGATTGAATATTCTGGAATTATAGCAAAAATTAACAAGCAAAGTCTTCAATTTCAAAACCATACACTCCACAATTGTCTTTATCAAATATCAATCAGAAATCATAAAAATAATTTGTACTGATAAAAATGACCTGGCTTGATCGATATCCTTAAACTTTCCTACACGTTTCTGCATATACTCTTGCGAATGAAAGACAGAAACATTTTCAGATTTCTTATTAAAATAAGTCCATAATGGATCTTTATGAGCGAGATACAACTCATGTGGACTGGCAATAATCTCGCTGTTCCAATCTATGGCTGAGACAATAGTGCTGATACAAGCAAACCATGTAATAAAGCATCCAAATATCATTTCAAATATTTTAAAAAGACTGACGACGATAAATGCAATCCAAATTATTCACCAGAAAAGACCTATCAAACTAAATGCTCGAGTACAGCATCAACTGTGACATTTGCTGCATAAATCTTCATGAAATCTGCAAATGAAATTTTGGTAAACTACAATGTCTACGGAAGGATTTATTCTTGTTTTAACAAGTTACTACAGCTATTCCTTAAACAGACTAAATGAATTAAACAGAAGTGAATAACCAGGAAAACAAAAGTATAGTAGTGACAACTACTCAAGTAAAGGATACAATTGCCTCAACTTACCGAAACACTCACTACCTTTACTGTCTCTTACATTACCAATGAATGCCAGCATCGAACCTGCAGTGTGACAGTGTTTAGGAGATACGTAAGACACGAACCAGCACTGATACATACATCTACTGCTGAAGTTATTTATTCTCTCTCAACTTTCATGCGGAGTACATACTTTACTACCAAGCCTTTTCAAACTGTTTCTTCTCTTAACACGCACTGACATATTTCGTTTCATTCAATTCACAGGCATAACTTCCTGCTGAAATTTCCACCTAGCAATGTAATTTTCCTACAACTCTTCCATTTCAGTCATACATCTTAAAACTCGCACTGTCCCTTTACTCTTATCTTAACGATAAATCTTTACACTGAACTGAAATTCTCTTGAAATGCTTATTCTCTCATATCAAAGATGAGTGAGTCGCAACGCACATAAACAAGAAAAACAGCATTTTAATTCTACCAAATTAAATAGTTGTAATATATATGACATAATTAATAATGCATGTTTTCATACATTTTTATCCTATCAAAATCAAAACTGCATATCATATTAGTTACTTTCCAACAAGAGTCCTTAAAAAGTAACCTCATCATTTATTATTCACAAATACATGTACTTAAAAGACGAGCAAATCAAAACATATTGGAAACATCATAATTCAAACTGTAAAGTTTTTGTAAGCAAAAGATTTTACCTCATATTTTACGGCTTGAAATTATTACTATAAAACAAAGATATAACAAGAATCGCGATAAACAGATGTTCACAAAATAGGCAATGTTTTTATAGGCAGTTTACTTCTAGATGCAGCTAGCTTCTTCCTTTCTTCCTTGAATGCCAATTTATTACATTTTTTCTCAGCCCTACGTTCCGCTCGAATCAATTTAATGACTGATTTTCTATTTTTTCGTTCCTCCGTTGTTTCTCCTCGTGTTCTTCTGGTTGATACTGATGTTTTTGAAACTTCAGTCTGTGTTTCATCCATTTTCTGCATACCATAAGGAATACTGATTATGCTTTCACAAATTAAATTGAATTGGAAGTCTATATGATTACGAAAAAAGTGCATTAAAAATTTAAGCAGACAGAAAGCAACTGTGATTAAGAAACTACATCTAAATGACCTATAAAATTTAAGGGATTCTTCAAATTCGTGTTAAATGAATCTTTAGAATTTTGAACAGAATTTAAACATGTCCTTATTCAAAAAATTAATGTTTCAAGAAACTAACATCAATTTCTCGCAGAACTGGCTTCAGTCTTCGCTTATGCGACGAATCAGCAATAACTGTAGGCCGATTATAAATATTCGAGTAAGTCGAAACAATAGTTTCACAGTCCCATTTTGCTTTTTTCTTATCAGAACAAGTTATAGCAACACGTTCCAATTCCTCCTCTACCTCTTCGTCTTCATCATATATTTCTGCATATCGACGGGCTACTACATCGTTTTCCTCCAAAGTACGCTCATTAACAAACTATGCGAAGAAATTATGCAAGGTTTCACTAAATAATTTCATTGATTTCCATGAAACAGACCAATTAGATCAGCTGCAATATTTTTCATAGTAACTACTACAAAGGAATGTAAAGCATTTACATGAAATGAACCAAAGAAAAAGATACCAGAACAAGTTCTATCTTTTTATTCTTGAATTCTTTTGCAAGCGTTTTTATGTGATCAGAATTAGGATCTAACATGCCATCATTTTCGTCCTGAAACATTGCCTAAACTATATTCTTACACTGGTTGACAAAAAAAATAATGTGCTAATATGAACAGAATCTAATCCTCCATACCTCATTTGCTTCACTATCCGCTTCGCTATATTCTTCACACATTTTCTCGAACTGTTCATCAATATATCGTAGTTTCTTCTTGCTCTCAATAGGAACAAAACTATCTTCCTTCAATACTTGCTCGTTATGATCCGAAAAGTCTTCTAGAAAAGAACATTTGATTTCTGTAGTAATAGCAACAGCCAATATTTCCTCTGACAAAACCAATCCATGCGAACAATTATTACTCAAACTTACTATGAATTTAAGTGATTAAAATTATACCCGACTCTGATCTATCATCAGATTCAAATTCATTCTCCAAACGCACTTCTCGGAATTCATTTTTTTTCGACGGAAATGGAACTGGTGGTTCTAACGACGGTATTTCACCACCACTAGCTTGTAGAACAAAATCATCTTCTAGATCATTTGTAGGATTTTCGAATTCATCATCTGTTATCTCCGAAATAATTTCTGGATCTATGTGCATTTCCGCTGAAAATAATCACCCAAATAATTACAATCTTGTAATAATTAGAGCTATTGTCCATATAACAGAATCACTGTCTCAAGATAATTAATTGCAGGCAAACCCTATGATTTTTATATAACATATGAATAAAATCACATAAAATTAATTTTGATTACTTGGATTACTTTTCGACCACTTTCGTTTTACAAAAGGGCATATTATTTTAAATTATAATCTACCAGTGCTATGTTTAATTCATTTAAATGAGAAAAATTACAGATTTGCGCGCACAAATGATTTCAAAAGATGAATACTTTTAAAAAAAGTCAACTTTGTTTAAAATTTTACAGAATGATCTGGAAGAAAATACTTTGAAGCATCTTTTGGATTCATTATTATTTAGTAGACAATAAAATGAACCAACTCACTACATATTCAGATGATTAAAAAAATACCAGGTAATATGCCTTGCTTCAAAAGCTCAACACTAATTTCATAACCATTTGCTTCGAAGACATTTTCTGAAAGATTTGTTTTTCTTGGAGGAACTTTAATAACTGTTCGTTCCATTGTGCTTTTCGCTGCCTAGAAACGAACAACGAATTCCCGGATGAAAAGCGATTTGTAATAAAACAAGATATTTGAAAAAAAATCTTGTGGCTCATGACTGAACTTAAAACTATTGATGTTGACAGAACAAACTATCTGATACTGACAAATACCTAAAATTATAAATCGATATGTTTTATGGTGTTGAACTGCATACTTTAATACAAAATAATAAATCACACTGGCAAAATCAATTCGATTTTTGTCCAATATCAATTACTTTATTCATGGAAAGCAAAAAACAATGAAAACACTGAATATACTCTGACCTCATTAACACTCTTGAGGTGTTTCAAATAATTGTAGTCATCATTAAAATATATACCACACCTGTCGTGTTCTTCCACATCCTGTAACAGAAAGTCATTGAAAATGAGAAACAGAGGATAGCAAATTTTTCTGAAATAAAACTATGCAGGTAATTTCCCGTGATTTGCTGTCTCGACAAACTTAAAGCACAATTATAATGTATTGCGTAAACATCATTTGAAAGAACATTTCAAAAGGTAACCTTTTCTTGCACCGATTTTTGTGCACACTCGCCACCAGATTCATTAATCTGAGGAATTAAACGATAAGTTTTCGAATGTTTTTTGTCGATCCACTTCTTATGTTTTGGCTGCAAAATCAACAATAAATCTTACAATATTAACGAACGTTTTTCAGTAAAAAGAAAATGCAAATTATGGTGAAATCCCCACACGTATTTTATCAGATAACTTTTGAACAGTAATTACGGCACTATTCACCATACGACCTCACTGTAAGATGGAAAGAAAAATTTTCTATTCTAAACAAATCACTTTTAATACCGTACATCTTTTAACACTAATTCAGAATTAATATTGCTATATTTGGCACCTATTACGTACAGTTTCCAAAAAAATGGCTTCAAAAATCAATAGAGAAAAATAAAATTCATGAAGGCGCTTATGTTTATAACCAGTGCATCATTTTTGAAGTCAGTCATATAAGGCTGTTGGAGCTAGACGAATCCTTTTTTACTAAACAGAAAGATTTCAAGCAGGCAGTAATAATAGGCAGATACAATAAATATTACCATTTTATCGACTCTCGCAGGACTTCTATATAAGACTGATATTCTGAAATAATAATTAATCTTAACCTTACTGCAAACTTTTCACAAAACATTTAAATAAGTCTTTAGCAATATGCAAATATGGATATAAAACTCAAAATAATCAATACAACTGAAATCAAAAAAAGTGAGATAACTACATATAATGCATGCAAAGACTACCTTTTTGGATACAATTCAAACTTCCAAATACTAACGCGAATATATTCTGATTTTCGAAAATACCTTATTTATACCATAATTTCGCATCTTGTAATTATAATAAAACAAATAAATAGATGTAATTTCCACTTGAAATAGTAAATAAAATAATTTAGGAACAAATAAATAACGTCCATGAGAATGAAAAACAAACTACACAAAGCAACAAAAGTACTACGTTGTTTTTACAAGTACACGCTCAAACAGTTACATTGATTGAAATTGTGTTGCGTGACAAGCCACTATGCCATAATTTGTATCCCAAGTGCTGTTTGCAGACGTAGCTTCATGTTAGGTCGTTTATGGTAGTTGTCAAGCATACGTAACACTAACACCAGTAATATCCATTACTCAATATCTTTTGTTGCGTAAGAATGGAAAGTTATGAATGGAAATCACAAAGTTCATGAGTGCACTATTCTTTGAAAGTTTTTTTTCCACAAGAAGTTTGCATAAATTTGCATATAAGAATTTGTTGACTGATTTACCAGATGCTATCATTTAATGCGTTAGCACATGCATGATAAGTAATTCTAGAGATGGCCTAGGCTAAATGATGACGGAGAAAGTGGCCAAGTGAGCAATCTTTTGGATCGATTATTCATGCGGAGGATGTTATACTAACTTCCGCTCCATCGTGCTGTGGTGCGTGTACATATGCTTTGGAATGGATGTCGTATATGATTTTGTCGAAGGTTTGCTTTTATTGAATTAAAATTAATTAAAACAGTTCGGAATCACTATGCTAGTAGCAAAGTTTAGTAGTAGATAGAAAAAGCAACTTACTACTGAACGTAGTTATTTTACCATTTCACAAACAACTAGCAAATAAAATCTATCAGCTAAAATCGACTTCAATAACATTTTTAGTCAAGAAAAGTAACTTCAGTACTTAATTACAGGAATATATTTATTCAACATGTTAGTAGACTTAATAAAATTATAATTGAGTTTAAATGAAGATTAGAAATATTGTTATATACGTATGAATTACACATTTGCTATTAACCTTTAAGTTTTTTGATAATAATATTTCAGGCATTCACGTTCTAATACCTGTGATTGCTGTACTGTTTATTATTGCGACAGTATATTTTGGAAAAAGTGGTGAAGATAAATCGGAACCAGAAAAAACAACTAGCACAGGTTTCTTGATCTCAGTCGTTTTCAAATATTAAACGTTTATTCCTATTTTAAATTAGAAAAATTAAAAAAGGCAAATTCCTCTCGAGAAACATTTATGTTTACATTATAAATAACCCAGAAACCTTACTGTTATTCACTTCTAGAGTTTTTCGAGGATAAAATAGTGGAGAAATCAAAGGACGACTAAAGATGTGTACTAAACGCTATATAAGATAGTTGCCGCTAACTTCAGCAATGTATTACCCAGAGGACTAATAGATATCAAAAGTGTATCAGAGGATCGTCTTATCCACTCGTTGATTTCCGTTTGAAATTGAGTAGATTAATCCTATAATACATATAAAAATAATGAAACTTTAATAGTTATCATGAACTGTCTCCCGAAAGTAACTTAAAACACTCATAATCGAAGCTAATGTATGTATAAAATTTGCTAGAAGTTTTTAGGATGTCTACTCTATGACTGATTAAGATATTAAGATCGAAAATCAAACTCAATTTTGCATATATCTTCAATCTGCTTGATATTTCGGTAGAAGTATATCAGATCTTTATAGTTAGTAGAATTTGGCCCTGCGCGCCTACTTTATATTTTCAATAAACTGCTTGTTTAATAAAATAAAAAGGTACCAAATTATCAGAATTCATAGAAAGCATTGCAGACAATACACGAAACATACAAAATATAAAGCTCAATAATTAAGAACTGATATAAACGGAAAATATCCATGATTTTTTAAGGTCAATTATATAGGCAATGTAGGACACATGTGAGAATTACAAATAATCATGTTCTTTAATTAGCCTTAAAATCACAAAGGAATATCACGAAGGCAAAAACTTAAACACAAAAATACTAATTATATATTTTACAATCACAGTTTTTTACCCAAATCACCAACACGAAACATGCGGAAAGAAGGAAATAGCAAAATACCAGTCTAAATTGAGTGAAAATTATATAAAGAAGCTACAAAGCATAAGTTATTTCGTCACATCATGTCAGCTAATAATAAAGAAGGTTACATTTTAAGCACTGACATCTAAATAAAGTTGAACTTTGAGGAGTTAATAAAAGTGGCATTTTGAACAAATAAATCGAAAACATTAATTTAAGAAAGATTGACAAGGATGATCTGAAAATATTTAAGTTTGCATTTATTAATCTGAAATGCTTTAAAATGTATGAAGAAGAAAGAAACAGTGATCCCGTGATGAGTTAAGAGTGATTGTTCAAACTTATTGTCTGCTGTATAAACTGTGCAAATTCGCCACAATCCTCAGCATTTGCATGTTTTAAGAAAAACTCATGACTGCTTAACGTTTTCAAATTTGCCCTTTCTATAGGATTCTTTTTGACACATCTTCCAACGAAATCGATAAAATTATCAGTGAATATATTTTTTGGCAATAAAGGTGGAGGCTGAAACCAACAGTTTGCAAAATAAGAAAGAGTAACACTAACCCATGGAACTTTTAAACATCCCTGAAGCCTCTTTTATCATCACTATATTTTCGAACAATAATTGTAGATCTTATCTTAGTTTTGGCAGTATAAAGTTTGGAAAATGTCTAATGTCTTGATCCACTTTAATTAAAAAGTTAAACATTTTCATAAAAATACATATTAAAAGTACCTCATTTACGATGTAGTCAAGCAATTCAAAAATTGCCATAGTCCTCGGTGTTGAGGGTGTACCAGAAGTTGGCAATACTGCGCCTTCAGGGAATTCTAATTTTTCTTCTGGTATGTTGAAAATCTCAGCAAACTCTTTTGCTGTAGGTGATGGAACTGGATATCTTCCAATTGACAATTCTACAAGAGACAAACCAAAACTCCAAACATCGGACTGTACATTGTAGTGACTTCCAGTCAGTCTTTCTGGCTGAAAAAAATTTTGATTGATTTTTGATCGAAAGGTTTAGCATGAAAGTTAGAAATTTTCGAGACGGCATCAAATTTTCAAACTGCTGAAACTTAAGAACGAGAAAAACAACTCACAGCCATATAAGATCGAGTACCAACAAAACTATTAGCCATGCTATCAATCAGCATACCCGACACACCAAAATCACACAGTTTAATTTCCCCACGACTATTGACCAATATGTTTGAAGGTTTTACATCTAGAACCAATAAAGAGGAGTGAAATCTGTATGAATTCTAAGACAAAGTTTACATCAACCGCCTAAGAAATACGATAATAACAAAAGCTTAATAAAGTCTAGCCTCGATGAAGTATTTTGTGTTCATCCTTCAAATATGATAATCCCCGGATTACTGCAACAGCAATGCGACCTAAACGCGATTCTTTAAGCTTCCCAACCTGAAAGCAGATGCACTCGAGATAAAAAGCTGAAAAAACAAAATGAAAAATGGCTCGAAAGTCCAAGATTTTTACAACTAGTCTCTTTCAAAACTAAATAATGCAACGAAATGCTGTACTGCAGATGGATGCAGGAACCTTTTTTAATACAACATCTAATGATAATCCATCCATATACTCCATGCATATAGATATGTCGTTATTATCAGTAAAAGCACCATAGAAGCCAACAATATATGGACTGCTGCATTTGTTTAATACATCCAACTCCTTAAAGAGTGATCAAACATTTTTCATTTAACTACAACAATATGATTAAAAATCAACATGGTTTGAAAAATACATAATTTTGCAAGCTTATTGTCAAAAACTTTTTGACTGACACATCAACTTCTTAATTTTAATAAACTATATCTAACAATACGTTTTACTCAACTGTTCTTTTTAATAAGCGCTGTGTATGAGTGAGAATGCTGCCTTACAAGTAAAATTTATGCACAACAATAAATGTATTATTACCTTTAAAATTTGTGATCTTACAGATGGCTTTACTTCCAAATGGACAAGCTTCCTGGCCATGATAATTTTACTAGGTTTGTGTATAACTTTGCTGACAACACCACCATTACCATGCCCTAATTCACACATTTTCTCCAGCATATCTTCGTTTAACTCATTCAGTGGTACCTACAATATAATGGAAGCTATACTAATGCTTTCATTTAAACTTCAAGAAATAATAAAACTGAAAACACTTCACATTCAGTCGAAATTTAAACCAATTTCTTTTCTTTCATCCATTCTCGCATTCGAAGTTTTTGAGGCTCTGTGAGTGTCATTTGCTTGATTTGATCTTCTAACGAGCAGGTTGAGGTATCAACAGTATCAGCTTTTGCTCCATCTTTCTTCAGTTCATTTTTTTCTTTCACAGTTGCAGGTAGACTTAAATTCAGTGGATTCTTTCGTCTGCTTCCAATACTGGCCATGAATGCAAATAGCAATGAAATTACAAGCTTTAATACGTGTTCTAATAAACCATTACCACGCTTCTACAGCAGATACTTTCAACTGCAAAAAGTCGCTACAAATATTTCATACTTTCTGCTTCACACAACTATCATTTAGTAGCTCTAATGAAGATTAATACATCTATTGTGAGATCTATCTCACAAGCCATATCATGATTATGTTTCGTCTGCATATTAATTTCTATTGATGAATGCCAAGAACGATGTTTTATTTCGTGAAAACAACATCTAGACCGTCATCAATGATAGCTTATATATTACTTCTGCTTTTGCTTAGATCTGAAACCTAGATAAAAACCTAGTAAAAATTCTATCTGACATTCAGATCTTGAAGTTTCAGATCAAAGTGTTCACCTGACTTCTAATTTCAAATCACACAGTTGAATGGAATAGTTAACTTGCAATAAAAAGTGCAATTAAATTGATGAATACATGAATACTTACTCTATCTCTGAACAACCCTTTTTCAATTTATCTTTCCGCACTCTTTTTTTCTTTTACCAATTCTAGCTCTCTCTCACTTCAATACTCTTTTTCTAACATACCTTATTTAATTTACTCTCTAAATCGTATTTTTATACAGATAGCCTCTTTTTACTCCAAAGTTTAATCACTGATATACTTGTTCTTGTCATTCTTAATTTAATCGAATTATTACTTTACTTTTCAGAAATTCTTTTTGTAGTGTACTTAATTGAGAAAATTTCTATCACTTTTTGCTTTTCTCATTTTTCATTATGTTTTTGTGTTTAGTCTTCTTTGTACTGAAGCTCTCTTCATGGAGGATGGAGGATGCAGATGGCACACTTCATCGGTAAGACTGCTAAATCTGATGTATTTTTTATCAGTAGAAACTAGTTTTCATTCCACTCAAATGCATTTTATTGTAATATATGAGATAATTTTGTGATGGTAATATTAGTTTAAGTTTGATGTGAAGAAAATTGAGCACTTATTTCTTTCATTACTAAAATTACATGTTATTATTTTATTAAAATTGATGAGAATTAGTTTGGACGTGTTTTTTGATCATTTCAGATTAATTAGCAGTAATTGTGCAAAATAGCATTGGAAGAAGAATTGACTGCAGTTATTTTGGTATGGCGGCTGAGACGGTTTCATTTAGAGATGCTGTAGGAAATGTCGATGTAAGTTATTTTCATTCAGCTTAATTGCTTAATTGTTGGTTGTAGAATTATCAGTATTATGAGATTTCCTTGTGTTAAAAAATCTACACTATTGTAATAATTTGACATATGACCTCTCAATTACTACAGTTATGAATACACTTTATATGTCTATCACGACATGTTGTATTCATCAGTAGTCTTATTTTCAATTTATCTATAGATTGCTATTTTATTTTCCCTTAATGAGTCGTTATAATAAAAATCTTTCTTAATAATGTTGAATAAATTTAGCTTCTGGATGACTTAATACTTTTGGATAATCAGCCATGCATTGAAGCACAACCAATACCGCTAGAATATCATGTATCATTCAATACGAACTTTGAAGATAGAAATGCTTATGTTACCGGAGTTTCGAAGTATATCGAGGAAGCAACACGTCATGCAGAATTTGTTAATTTATTTGAATTGAAATCTTTTATACTTTTTCAAATTTTTTCACGAGCTGATTTTTTGGATTTTACTGGAACAAATAAAAAAAATGACATATTTCTTTAGAATGACATATTATCTGAAGGATTCGAACATGCTGCTCATCTTTATACCTGGAGGTGTTGCTCTCGCGCTGTTCCCATGGTAAGAATTTTGTCTTGCTTTAATGACGTGTTGCTTGTTTATGGACATTTATTTGATTGGTTTATGGATGTTATGAAGATGCTGGTATTGTAGACGTTTCTTCAACTTTTGATTCCTATTTGTACCTTCAAAAACGTTGATTTGAAAAAAAAGTCTTTTATTTTATAATTAGATCTTATTATTTTTATTTCCAAAATCAGATCAGACATGCATTAATTGAAGAGCATGAGTTCGAACTTATGACATTGTCGAGTTTGTAGCATGTACCATGTATTGTTTATCTCTAATGGTTTTGTATGATAATAATTGCTTAGTTCATAATGAATTTATTAAGGCAAAATCCAATGACCAGCCGAATCGAGTTGAAATAAATGAAAAAGTTGTTGAAGTATTGAATCCTGAAGTGGAGAAGTTACATCGTTTCATGCACTTTACGGTAATAAAACATCTGAGAGTTTTGGTTTATTTATGAGTCATTTTTTCTAAACTTTATTCGAAGTGCTTTTCATAATTTTTACAATTTACTTGCACTATAGAATAAGGCTATTTCTCGTTTCTGTGACGAAATGAAGAGATTGTGTCATCCAGAGAAACGGAGAGATTTTGTATCTGAAGCGTACTTATTAACACTTGGCAAAACGTTAAACATGTTTGCTGTACTCGACGAATTGAAAAATATGAAAGCATCGATCAAAAATGACTTTTCTACTTTTAGAAGGTTAACTTGAGATTAGATTATGTTCGATGAATTTTGAATTGATTAAGTGAAGGAGTATCTAAATGTAGAATTTTTGTCTTGTGAGACTATATGTGGAATTTTTCTGCGCTTTGAGAAGCAGATTCACTTTAACTAATTTTTCAGATCAGCTCAATTTTTGCAAGTCATGTCGGATACAAAGACACTTCATGAAATGCAGAATTTGAGCATGTTTTTAGCTACCCAAAATAAAATCAAAGATGCACTCAAAACCGAATTGCAGTTGGTTAGTTACAAAAGTTGCTCTTTCAGATCTGAATTCTGTGAAGTTGCTATTTTTTGATAGTTTCATGGGGAAATGAGTATTAATACTTGACCATCAAGCTAAAGCAGAGTGCTTTTGAGAGTCTGCAGAAGCCGCATGTGCGACTTATCTAAGATCTATGTTGATTCTTATCTTTGCTTGATTCAAGCCTATTTTTTAAAGAAATTAAAGCCATAGATCTATCATAAACTATTATTCATTGTCAGAGTTTCATGGTATTTTTTGTGCTGGAAACTTCATTTATAGATTGATAACTATGAAGAAGTTCTTGCTGATGTCATCAATATCTGCGTGATATTGTTTGAAAATCACATGTACATTACTCCTGCAGAAAGACATATGTTTGTTAAGGTTTGAAAATTTGTATTCATTAATTTGAGCTATAACTCTTTTTCTAAACCTGATAAAGTCTCTAATTTTTTTCTTGCTGTTTAATCCGATATCATCTCTACCTGTTGTGTGAAAGTTAGAACTATTCATTTTTTGAACTTTAGGTGATTGCTTTTGCATTATTTTTGATGGATGGTGATAGTGCGAATGTTTCAAAGTTAGACCAGCGGAAACGAATTAGCATTTCAAAACTGGACAAAATTTTTCAGGTTTCCATTTATCTGCAGTGTTCAGATTCATTTTTCGATGAATTTTCAGTTTTTCAGCAATAAATAACTAAACATATATACATGAAAAGTTTTTTTTCCCTAAAAATCGTTTTAAAAAGGTGTTTTCAGTCTCTTGAAATTGTGCCTTTGTTTGGGGATATGCAAATTCAACCATTCTCATTCGTCAAAAGATCTCCTTATTTTGAAGTTTCTAAATGGCCTAATGCTAGCAATGAAGGTTGATTTAAAAATTCCTTAACGGTTGACGCGATAATCCACTTTGCCAATATATTTTTGCTAATACTAATGAGAAAATTATATCTTAAGGTGAAAAGTGTCATGTAAATATCGCGGAAAAACTGAAGGTGATCCGTGAACAGCATTTGGAATATGTAACAAATTTATCTCGACTCAACAACGAGGTAGTTAGTATACTGTTTTCTTCTATTATTTTCTGGCTAGGTTTGAAGAAAAAATTGGTAGATTGAAAAGTCGAGTTCTAATATTCTGCATATAAATATCTAAATATCTAAAAATTGTAAAATTTCAGATTGCTGTGTATGATAGGGACGGACCACGTAGCGATAACGAAAATCGAGAAATGACTCAGTTAGTGCTGAATGGCATACGTTTTCTTTGCAGTTGGACTAGCGATGTTGTAGAAACTATTTCATGGAAATTGCTTCATCCAACTGATCATCGTACCAATACAGCTTGTCCAGAAACAGCTGAAGAATATGAAAGAGCCACGAAGTATAATTATCAGCCTGCAGAGAAGGCAGCGTTAATTGAGGTTCGGTATTTTCGAAACTAAAGAAGATATGTTAAAAATTTTTCTAAACACTTGTCATTTTAAAAAGTTTGCTGGAACTACACGGAATTTAACATCTTTAAAGTAGTGGTGGTTATTTTTTCAAACTTTTTTGTCTGGTATCCACTGTTTTATTTCGTCCGAAAACTGTCTCATGTTCTAGGTGATATCAATGATCAAAAGCGTTCAGCATATGCTTTCAAGAATGGAACCAGTTTTAAGTGTAGCCATAAGAAGATATATTTATGCCGAGTTGCAAGATTTTGTACAGATAACCTTGAAGGATCTTCTTCATAAAGCTTTGAAGAGTAAAAAGGACTTATTGGCTGGGTAGGTTTATACTTTACTTGTTAAATCCCCATCAAACTCAATCTTTAAGTGAAAAGATTAAGGAAGTACATTAGACAAATCAACTTATGTGGTCTTTCATTTAAAAATTATTGTGAAAACACTTAAAAAATTTTAGTAGCAGTTATTGCAAAATATAGTGCGGTGTTCGAAAAAGTTTAATTAAATATTAGTTTTATTTGTAGTATATGTCTACAATAGTTTAATGGCTCACTAAACCCGTATTATTTTTCATGTTTTGTTCCGTTTCTTATAGCATTATTCAGTCTATATGTGATACATGTGTGGATAATTGTGTTGGAAACTTTGATCCTCACTCTATTGAAATGACCAAATCAAAAAAGCAAAGGCATTCTACGGTAGGATCAATTAGTGATATACGTACAGCACGACGATCAGTTGCTCCAAGTAGCACACAAGTACTGTTCTTATTTGTTTTGTAATTGGGAGTCCAAATTTTATTGGAATATTTCTATATCTCATGATTACTAAGAATTAGTTTTAATTTCTAAATGAATTGTGGAGACATAAGAGTGATATTTTGGTCTGAGATACTATCAAACATTTTGCATACCGAACTTTTTACATTTGGTTGGATTCAGATACAGTAGATCTTAAAAAATCCCAATATTTTGTTTAACTTTATTACACACACTATTTGAATCCAACGTTATATGAGGTAAATGAGGGCAAATTTTTTATCAGTTATCGCTGCGTAGTCTTTCATATTGGCATAATTGTAAATTATTGTTTTATTATAGCTTTATATGGCCCGCACAATGACTGAGTCACTGATTTCTGAGCGAAGTGGCGGTAAAAAAGCGCTACGTAAAGACATCGAATCGAAATATGTGGAACGATTAGCTCAGTTCTTGCGTATAAGTTTTCATTGGCCTGCTCTTCTTACTTTTTCAGGCAAGTTTGCTCTTCTTGTCTTTTCAGGTTTTTTCTTCGGAAAAAGATTTAAACTTTTGTAGTGTAAATCGTAACCAAATAAAGGAAGCAGTTTCAGAATCACTGAGGGAATGTTGTGAACTTTCTCAATTATGGTTTCGAGAGTTTTATTTAGAGATGACAATGGGGCGTCGAATTCAGTTCCCAATTGATATGTCTATGCCATGGATTTTAACAGATTATATATTATCAAGTCAAGATCCAGCTTTGACAGAGTATTTCTTCGTGAACTTTATATTTATTAGTCTTCGTATTGGCAAATTAATCGATATTAGTTGTTGTGAAATTAATGTATTTCGTGGAAACTTTTTCTTAAGCATTAACAAATTACTGAATCAAAATTATAGCAAATTTTCAGATAAACCAAATTTTTATTCAAATATTGTGAAATTCTGCATTAAGTCGTTGTTCATGGTATTGATAAAAATTTCGCATCTTTGTTTAGTATTTATTTGTATATTATTATTATTTGCTTGTAGGTGTATTTTTTATCAACTTGATTTGTACAACGATGCTGCTGATTACGCGTTAAAAAAGTTCAAAAAGCAGTTTTTATTCGATGAAGTTGAAGCTGAAGTTAATCTCTGCTTCGATCAGTTTGTTTTCAAAGTGAGCGATGCTGTTTTTACCTACTATAAACAGCTGGCTTCAAAGTAAAGATTTTTCACCTTATTTTTCCTTTTTCCTTTGTATATTAAATCTACATTTGTATTGATGTATTAATGATTAGGATATCTATGTATTATTATTTAGAATTTTAGCGTTCACTTTTTCAAGTAAATCGTAGTTATTGTGTAATGATATCAGACATATAGTCACAAGCGTAGTATGTGTTGAATGATGAAAATTTTATTTGGAATGCTACATTTTAAGTATGTTGCTCGACAAGCGTTTCAAGTCAGATTGTCAAGCATTGGGAATAACAATTCGAGCACCATATCACTATCGGTACGAAACTCTGTTGTGCCAACGACACGTTCAGGTGATAATAAGTTTGCTTAAAGCTGTGAAGTCCAAAAATATTTTTTTAAATAAAATTTTTTTTTATTTATCAATTAAAGAGACTAGCGTGTTCATAAGAAAATAATCTTAAATTTGTAACTATTTTTATCTCTTAAAGATGCGTGGCTTATTTAGCTTCTGGGACGGTCTATTGATTTGAATCGCTTGATAAGTCAGAGAATTAATATGGCTATGATTCGAGCCCTCGATGTTGCAGTTTCAAAATTTGAATCAGAAGAGTTGTCTTCTATTGTGGTAAAGTAATTTAGATTCCTAGGATCGATATATAGCTAATTCAGGGGCCAAAAAACTTTCTTGTTTTTGATAAGAACTAAATTTGCCAAAGTTACTGGATGATGAGGTTTTGTCTTGGTGAAAAAAATGAACAAATCAAGATCAACTTTTCAGAGCAGTTTGTGTGCACTACAAATTTCGTTTTTATGTTGCATAGCTCAGAGACATTCTTCATTTCGAGATTCTTTTTTGTTGATTGTTTTCCTCATTAACTTGATAATTTAAGGAATTAGATGGCCTGTTGGAAGCAAATCGTCTTTGTCACCGTCTTTTGAAACAGCAACTTAATTCCATATCAGACTTTAATGAACTTCTTTGTGAAGCAAACCATAGTGTTTCAGCGCCGTATGGACGTATTACTTTACACGTTTTTTGGGAATTGAATTTTGATATTATATCTAATTTTTGCTACAACGGATCTACTCGCAGGTAAATACCTTTGTTGCTAAACTGCAATCTACTTATGTACTGTATGTAGTTAATACAGATTATGCTACTCTTTCTTAGTTTGTTAATGTAAATTATGCCACTTTATCTAGAATTTATATTTACTAAATATTTACTGCTTACTGCTAGCAAACGGTTAAGCAAAGGTGCTTCATCATGTTATGATTCATTTAAATTTGCGACGAAACCTTATTCAAGTAAATAAAAGTTAAAACAGACAAAATACCTCTTTAAAAAACCAAAACTATAAAATGCACAGCTGCATCTTTTTACTTTGGTGGAGCATTTTTTTAGGTTTGTCCGATCTTCAGTGAAGGACTTGAAAAAAAAAGTCCCTCAAAGAGAACGTCCCCCTACAGCTGCTGTGCATTATTTTTGGGGCTCTAAGGTATATTCATTTTACTTTCTGAATTTATGCAGTGGTAATTTCTGTAATCTTATTTAATTATAATATTTGGCATAAATAATCCATTTTTCACTGTCGTATGATTGCAGTCCTTGCATGCTGCATTTACCAATTTGTACTCACTATATAATGGTTTCATTGGATTACCACATTTAAAGTAAGTATTAAATTTAATCTCATGTATATTTTTATTGTTCATTTCGTCACTGATTCAATTAAGTTGATCATGACACCAATTGTGTTACATATTTAGGTCTCGAAATTTAAATTTAAATTTTTAGGGCAATGGCTCGTCTTTTGGGTTATCAAGGAATAGCAGTTATTCTTGAAGAACTAATTAAAATTGTGCGCAGTTTGGTGAGTGTTTTATTGTTCTCATACTATAGTTAGTAAATGTGTCAATTTTACTTTTTGGATGAAAGTTAAAGTTCATCAGGTTAATGGTCCTTTACGTGGACATGTCAAATCTGTCTTCAGTCTGATGCCTAAAGTATGCAAGCTGCCGAGATTTGATTACGGTTCTCCAGGTATTTTGAATTGTTTGGTATAATAAAGCCTTTTTTGTGATATTTGTTGTAATAATTTTGTATTATTGATTTTGAAATTTAATTTAGACTTAAATTTCAGCTGTATTGGAATATTATATCGCACACCTAACTAATGTTGGTCGTTATACTGAATTAAAAAAAGATATGTGTCAGGTAAAGTTTGAAAAAATTTCAATTATATAACCTCTCATGTTTTGTATATAGTTGATGATTTTATTTCCTTTTCTTGTTTAAATTTTGAGTACAACAACCTCGAAAATATGCAGTTTAAGAAAAATAGTTTTTCAGGTGTTTCGCGAACTCGGCAATATCATTGTTTTTTGCTCACAAATCGAATTAGCTTTGGCTCAGGAAGAAGTAATGGATTTGCTCATGGCTGCACCATTTACAAATGTAATTCCACGTCCACCAGCTAAAAGTAATTTTTTGAAATTGCATCTGTTGCATACAAATTAGATCAATTTCAATCAGTATTCCGTTCAGTACCATGGTGTTAACAGTGAGCTGCTGGGAAAAAATACAAGACTGTATAACACAAATTAAAGTCTGAAATGCCCTTAACAAGAGTTAGCAAATTTAGATAAATTTTGTGTTATAATTTAACATTTAGCATCAGTTTTTAATTTTTCAGAGGTCGAAGAGCAAGAACAGAAAATAAAACAGCTGGAGCAAAAATATTCTCGTATTCAAATTTCTGCCGTTGTAAATCAAATTGGTGACGAAAAGGTTTGTATTTATTATCAGCTATTATTTCTTGCATATTTTTTAATCCTTCTTTCAGTGACTTACAACTTTTTAAGCTTTTCTATTTGATATTAGTGGCTGTAAAGTTTAATTTTTGTGTTCTTTAGCAAAAGGCTATCTCGAAAGAAGCTGAACTTCTGACTAAGGAACGCCTTTGTTGTGGGCTAAATATTTTCGAAATGTTTATTCTAAAACTCAAAGAAATCTTGTCAATGGATACAATTTGGACTGGTGACTTCCCTACCAATGGAGTTTGTATCCATGCAACAATCAGAAATAGATTTCTTATTTTGTCGCTTTCTGATATTGGTTTCGTTCTGATATCGTTTCAACGAAGGTGTATATATTTATCATAAGTTTCAATTTAGGTCATGTGGTTGGAAGAATGTGTTGAATTTCATCGTTTGTGGTCAGCACTTCAGTTTTTCTTTTGCCAGCCTCCACTTTCTGGACAAGAAACTTCAAATACATCATCTGAACCACTAGTTGAGTAAGTTTTCAAATTTTTTACTTTTGTTCCCAAAGATTTGTTTTTGAAAGTAAGATATTGTCCGGCTATCACAGATTACCTTGCCCTATCTTTTTAAAAATTTATTTGAAATTCTAAAATTTTCATGTATTTCAGAGCTGTTTATGGTGATGGTTTACATTGGGCTGGTTGCGCAATAATTGCTGTACTGAATCAACATCGGCGGTTTGAGATTCTTGATTTTAGTTATCACCTTTTACGAGTTCACCGTGCCGATGGAAAAGATGATGTTGTTCATGGCATTGTTAGTTTGTGTTTTTCAGTACATTGAATACTTCAATCATATTGCTTTCAGTAATTTTTTTTGCGTTGCATTCTCCTAACAAAAATAGGTTGTGTCATATGGCAGTTTATAGAAGCTTTCTCGGATGGTGGAGAGGATACGCCGATTTCAGTTACTGAATAATCAGATATTTGGTGTGTTGAACAATTATTTACATTCAGTAGGCGAGAACAGTGATGGTTCCATAGAAGAACAAATACGGGAATTCGCTCCTCCAGTTCATCATTCCCTTTCACGAAACTATCTTGCAAATAATTAGATATCACAAACAGTGCGATCTTCTGTATGGGGATGTAACTTTTATCTCTTCTTACATAGTTTTTCTACTTGCCTGTTTATATTTTTATATGTATTGACTTAGAAACTGTTTTATCCATATCAGAACTTTCTGGCAGCTCTTGTTGACCATACTTTCAAGGAACGTATATTGTGTAATAAATGACAATTTTACTTCCACATTATTAATTGTCATAATTTTTTTAAACAAGTTAGTAAGAAATGGAATAAATATTTTTTAGGAATGGTATTGTTAGTGATATAGAAATTTTTATATGAAGTAATATTTTATAGATAAGTTTTACCAAGGAATTATTTCAAATTATGTTATGATTTAAAATTACAAGAGAAAGAACTAATAAAAAGTGTTCATTTTGACTGTTACCAAATAGGTCCGTAAGATTCATTATAAAATGCTAGTGGACAGTATTACGGGTGAAAGTGATAGAATTTAATAGTGTTTTTTTTTTAACTGGATTTATACATATTTGGCAAACTTTTATACCTCTAAAATCCTTTGGATGAGAATTATGAAGATTGTATTTTACTAGCATTAAATAAATGTAGATGAAAATTTGCCAGATATATTGCTTAATCAATTTTGTCTTTTAATTGATTATTAATTTGAAAAACTCTATTGTATATGATCCCAGAATATTGGCTTGGATTACAGGTTACAGATCGCCCTTGAGAATTGGGAGTAAAAAATGTAATAGCTTTCTTTGTTTTTATGAATGCTACTTTTATTCAGCATATTTCAAATATTTCGTTTATTTATTATCAGTAATAAAATCTGTGCATTCATGCAGTAAATTGAAGGGAATATTTGTGATGTACTCTCTGGTATGATTTTAACCAAATACCGAGATTTATGTATATATATAATGGCACACCAGGATGTCCGGTCGATCGTCCTTATTCTAATTGCTGTTTTACCTGCGTATCCACTTTATCTCCATGTTCTAATTAGTGATGATTTCTTGGACAGCATGGCTTCACTTAGAAATTCATGCATATGATTCCGTGTGATTGACAAAGCATATGATTCCGTGTGATTGACAAAGCATATGATTCCGTGTGATTGACAAAGCATAAGCATGAAGATTTCCTTAATTTATGCATTCATTTTGTTTAAAGACTGATAATCGTTTTTTACTTTTTATTTGGGATTCACTGGCTCATACGGAACATTTGCGTGATCAACTATTATGAGTCTGTATTTCTGATAGAAGTTTTACAGTTACAGATTGCAACGGATTGTTGACCTATCTGATCAACTTTTAATTTTGATGAGTTTTCAAACAGTAAAATCTGTAGTCATTTTGCAAAAATTTTATATTTCTAATTCTAATTTGTGAATTTCATTTGTAAGAGTTTCACTTTAGATTGATGCATTCAGTAAAACAGACAAGATACCAAAATAAAATTAAGTCTATGAATATTTCAGTTAAATGATTATTAGGAGTAGATAACTCGGAGTAAAGAATTTAATCTAATGATGGCAATATGAAAAAACAAACTTGTGTTGGTCTTTCTGTATTCCTGTTTATTCATTTAAAACTAAAAATAAAGCCTTTATCATTTTTTCCAAGCAACATATAATGGGATAAAATTATTTCAAATAAATATTTTGTGCTAACATGCGTAATTGATAATATGCAAATTTTATAGATGAAAGTTTGTGACAACTATGGGTGATTCTTGTGTAGCTATTATTCATATCTTGGTATAAAATAGTAGAAATAAAATAAAACAAAAGTAGTGATTGTTAGATGAAAATATTTGTGACAAACAAATGTTCGAGCAATTCAAACGACAAGTAAGTAAGTGATAGTAAAAAATAGACGAGTTAAAAAACACTAAAAAATAAATTGTAATTTATAAATAAAAAGGATGAGTTCTGCCAGTTACTTCTGCAATTGTTAATATTTTAATAAGCTTTTATGTTCTCTCAAAAATTTAAATTTTTATCTCTTTTTGAACAAAATTAAATGCTTTCTTATTTCTATTACTGTAAGCTTATTGGAATTGTATAAATTGAATTGGTGCTACAGAAATAATCGACTTACTATTTTAATATATATCATAATAAAATAACGATTATTTACATACATTTATTTCCTATCTTGTGGAATTTACACTTTTAGAATTTTTATATTAATCATGATATATTTTGTACTCTACAGCAAATTTTGCGTATTTTATAATTACCAATTCTTTTTTTATTACTTTTAAAACAATATAAATATTCCGCAAACTCAACTTTACTTTAGGTGTTTTATAACTTAAGTGGAACTTATATAATGGATTTATTAAGTTTATATACAATATTTTCCGAAAAGCAAAATAAATAGTTTTTCTTACTAGTTATAAAATTTTGTAAAATTTAGAATTCAGTATTAAAATAGGCTCAATTTGGATTTTAGTCTTATTTTGATTTTATTTTGAAAAATCATTAAAAATTCCTGCTCTCATCATTAGTTTTCTACAGTTCTTTTTAATTATTTTTAAAAAATGTCATTTATTAAAAATAATTAAAAAATATACAAATTAACTTTTTAACTTCAGTAATCCGTAGTGATCAAACCTTATTGACTTTTTTTACAGTTTTATACAAAAAGACCAAAAATATGATTTCTATTGATAAATCTATGCTGTACTTGTCGTCCATTCAGAAGTTACTTAAAGAATTTTCCATTAGTGAATTCACCGAAAAGAAAAAAAATTTTTCAAAAATAATCATTTTTCTACAAATGAAATGAATCATTTTTTTTTAAATTTTTTTTGGTTTTTTAAAGTGTTTTTAAAACACTTTTCTGTACTGAACAAACAATAATGTAATTGACGTAAATTAGTTACGGCACTTTTTCAATACTTATATAAGCGTGGTAAGTGTGAGCAGTAGACGTATCATCAAATGTATATATATTATAATTCTTAAATATATTATAATCAACTGCTTATCAATATTACAAACAGAACTATTATTAATTAAAAAAATATAAAATAATAGAATATACTACGTAAAAGTAAAAAGAGTTTTTGCTTTAATTTATTTCTTGCAGTTCTAACAAGTTATATTATTATTTAATTAAATTAAATTACCATTTAATTTGCTGGTATTTTAATTACTGCCATTAAGCAGAACTGTAGATTGCATTATATTCATTTCTTTTTAAATATGCATAAATATGACTAATATCACATTACTACTATTTACAGTGTTCCAAAAATATATTCAAATAGTAAACTGATACTTCATCACGATATTTGATAGCTTTTTTAAATATTTTGATTTAATAAACTAAATACTTTCAAATTTAAATCCCTCAAATAACATACTTAATCAATTGGTCTTTTTTTGAATAATTTTTTCTCAAAACTTCAAACTTTTTTCGAGGCATTTTTAAGAAGTAAAAATTTTGCAGTATTCAACGTTCATTATTTTTTTCGCCTTTTCATTCCATTCTTTCGACTCTTTTTTTCCAAATGAACTAAAATAGGCTCGAAACTTCTATTTCAAGTCACATTTTGAATCTAATTCAATTTTAAGCTGATTTTTCAAGTCTTTTTAGGCTATCACTACCAGTCTTCTTTTATAAGGCAAATAGTTTATTTAAGCCAACGCCTGGCTTAGTGCTAAATAATGCTATGCTCAAGAGACTTTTTTCGCTCAACAACTTGTATTCACTTCCATTTCTTTGACTTGTGTTTTGTATTTCCCTTTTCGTTTCACTAAATATTACTTAGATAAGTTCGAAAATAATTTGCATAATATTAAAAAAATACAATTATAATTGCAAATTATAATAGCAAACAAAGTATTCAATAAAATTTTAGTTTTTGTATTATAAAATGCAAATATTTTGTAGCGAATGATCGCTTTGTTTTATTCAATATATTTCAAATAATATTCTTTTTTTCTCAAAGTTAAATAAACTTTATGAAATTGGCAATATTTTTAATATTTGGTTTTAAAAAAAGCTTTAATTATTGTGGTGAATTGGCATCTCTTTCAAAGTGCTGAAATTGAAAATTCAAAATTTAAACTTAACATTTTAGTTTTTAGTACATTTCACATAATATACAAATTATGACTTTATTACAAAAACGCAAATTTTTCAATATTTTTTAATTTTTTGTTATTTTTTTATTACAACAAACACGAAGGACAAATTTTAATATAATTATGACTTTATTACAAAAACGCAAAATATTTAATTCAAAATATTGCAATTATTAATGATATTTCAATGCTTTGATAATATCAGTCTTGTATTAAATTGAACAAATTGCTACTACTATTTTATCAACTTAAATCATCTAAAAATCAGAATAACGATTAAATGAACTTAATTTATTTGATTTAATTGTAATGCTTAACTTGTAATCATATCTTTAGATTTTGTTTATTGCATCATTTTGATACGAAACTTTTATAATTGATAAGTTATCTTTAATCACAAAACAAATATTCCATGTGATAGTAAGACCACATCAAAGATTTAACAGCAAATATCAACGCATTGAAAAGGATTTGTCACTGATATTAGTATTAGATATCTCAGAAATTCCATTTGACATAGTTCATCATTCAGTAAAGTGTACTTCTCTTTTATTATTAATGAATTTACTATTTAAAATAATCTTTTTAATATAGGCTTGCTTAAGGCGTTTATTTATTTTAATTTATTAATTTACTGCAATTCTTTTTCAGTAATTTATATTTTTTGAACTTATATTTTCGATTAAGAATTTATATTTTCGATTAAGAATTTATATTTTCGATTACGAATTTATATTTTCGATTAAAATTAGATATTTTTAGTCAATAAAAATGAATTGTAAAATATTTTTTGCTGACAACTTTTTATTTGTTTACATTTTTGTAAACAAATAAGAAGAAAATTGATACAATAAAGTTTAGTTTTTGTTTTGTTTTATTTTTTCCACTATAAACTGTTTGAGTTTCATTTTACTTTT